CTCGCTGACACCACAGTCCAAAGAAGAAAAGGTGCTAATGAAAATAATGAGCATTAATGAGCATTCACTACGTAAATTTATAAAACATTCTGTTTAAGACATAAGTTCTTCATGAGTCCCCAATTTGACAACTCCAGGTTAGTGCAACAGCCTTGTGAAATGTTGTTTCTACACATCAGTAGTTTTGTTTACTTGCACTGGAATATTGCCCTCCAATATAACCACTGGGTTCTTTTATTTTCTGAGGATTGATGTAAAGCTCTATTCTGCTCAATATAACAACAAAAAATCTTTGAACTTAACTTGTTCTTCAGCCAATGTTTGTGTTCTGTGTGTTGCTGTATGAGTGTATATACACTGACATTTGTGCCCTCGTGACTTTGTGTGTCTCTGAGTGTGGGTGTGTGTGTAATTTTGCCCCTTACTAAGCAGGTTGGATGGATGAGTATGGGCTGTGCTTCTGACAACACCACACCTCATTATCAACAAAATCCTGCTGAGACACAGTGAGGGGTTGCAGGAGACAGGCAGGTGGGACTGTGGAGATGAATAGTCAATATTATTCATTAGGAGTCTTTTTAATGCTCTCTCTGTTGTAATATAGACAGTAAATTATGCTGGGCCAAAAAAGACCCTGCAGAGTCATTCCTCCAGATTCCCACCTCACACATGGTCAATAGAAAAACAAATTTCTGGTTAGGTGTAGAAAAGGAATATGGTTTAGGTTTGGCCATACCCTGCTACAGAGATAAACAAATATTATTTTTAAAGCCAGCTTTGGTAAGCTAGAGTCAGAGCGCCGAGACCTTCAGCTGCCACTAAGCACTGCACTCTCTTCTGGTGGTGGTGGGCCCACAGGGAAGCAAACCCATGTAGCTCATTCAGACTGAGGCCACCATGAGGCCCAGTCTCCAGGTGCTTTCAGACGAGTCCCTCCCGTAGGCCCGGCTCCAGGGTGATGCCGCAGTTATCCATGTCTGGGTGAGGGACGTGTTACATGTATTGTGGGTGCCTGGAGGCCTGGACGCCTCCCTAGGTAGGTGTTCCAAGCGTGTCTGACTGAGAGGAGAGACCCAGGGAAGACCCAAAATACGTTCCAGAGACCATGTTTCACTGCTGGCCTGGGAACGCCTTGGAATCCTCCCAGAAGTGCTGGAAGAGGTCAGCAGTGCTGTGGAAAGAAATGTCTGGACCTCCTTGCTCAAGCTGCTCAACCCCCACCACCCCCACCCAACCCATCTCAGACCAAGCAGTGAATGAATGCATCGATCTTTTTATAGTTGTCTTTTTTTTTTCTGAAATTCTCCTAGCCCTAAAATATGTAAACCTGAATATTTAACCATTGATCACACAAAGTTGTTAAATTAAAAAATATTAGTACTAATAGTTTCAGGCATTATGAATAAGTGGTATCATCTCATGGTGGTTTGGTCTGGAGAGGAGAGGAGAGGAGA